TTTCAGAGAGCCACCCAATTAACAGACTAAACTGGTTAAACTAAAAATTTGGATGAATGCTTCCCACAGTAGTGAACTTAACAGTGCCTCTCATTAGCTCACCATGATCTTTGATGTCCTGGTTTACTGCACCGTTGTCATTCCTCTGTTGGAGCTCTTGAAGAGCTTCTCTAAGTCTGGTAACCTCTGAAAACACAGGAAAAGAAAAAAAAAAAAATTCATTAAAATCTTACAACATAAGTCAAATTTTGGGTTGCTGCCATTACTGTGACAGGGGTACATAATGATTCAATGAGTGATCAACAATTTATTGATAGGCAAAATTAAGCCAAGCATCTCTAAAAAACATATTTCTTCTTTATCAAAAAATTATAAGACTTTTTTGTCTGATTTGAGCCCAAGAAGTATGAGGTAAAAAGTTAAATGGTAGCTATTCTAACCAACTGCTACCTTACCGTTACATAAAAATATTATGTGCTCTGGAATATTACCCTCTGGATAATTGATAGGCCCCTATTTGTATTGTTTAAATATTGATAGGAGTAATGAAACAATCAAAGGCCAGTAATTTATTTTATATTTCGTACCGTGCAACTTTACTGGTGATAACCCTACAAACCCCTGAATATAAATGAATCTTTAGAAAAGGAGAAATCTGAAAAATAGGGTATTACAATTAAAAGAAGGCACTTTTCCCTTTTAAGTCACCTAGAGCTGAATTTTTTATAGAGTTAGTTACCATTTTCCAGATTTTCATTCTCCTCAAACTTGCTTTTTATTTCTTCATACTTGGCCACATAGTAATCCATGCGTTTTTTCATCTTGATATTTGTATCTCTCTCAAGCTTCAGTGCAGCTGACAAGCTGGCATTAGTATGTGCATTATGTTTCTGGCAAGCCTGGTACTGACTCTTCAGAGACTCATTTTCTTTTTTTAAAGTCTCCAGCTGTGTAGGGGAAAAAAAGTTCTGTCTTAAAAATGTCATACAGGAATACTATTAGAAAAAGGCTTTTAGACGGCATGACATAAATCGTATATGCTCCATTTATAACTGCACCTCTTAAAGCTGTTCAATTTTTTTTCTCTTCTTTACATAGTATTTACTCCTGCAAAAAGGAAAAGTAAAAAAAAAAAAGGGAAAGCCACCGTAGACTCAGGAGTTCCACAAGGCACCGTGCTGGGCCACCTTCTCTTTCTCTGTCACATAAACGACCTACTGGATACAGTAAATTCTCAAGTGCGGCTGTTCGCTGACGACTGTCTTATCTACATAGAGATAAACAGCAACAATGACCACAACCACCTCCAAACAGATTTGAAGTGCCTTATGAATTGGGCGGACAAATGGGGCATGAAATTTAATGAAACCAAATGCTTCACTATGACAATCTCAAGAAAAAACCATAAACTCATATTTACTCACTAAACGAGACAATCCTCCAACAAGTATCCAATAGTCCATACCTTGGAAGTCTCTTCTCAAATAACCTAAAATGGTCACTCCATATAAACAAAATTTTAAAAAAAGCCAACTCCACCCTAGGTTTCATCCAAAGAAATCTGTGCCACTGCCCAACTTCCTGCAAACGAAATGCCTATCTCGCACTCTTCCGTCCACTACTGGAATATGGTGCGATCATCTGGGACCCACACCTTAAGCAAGTCGTGGACAAGATGGAGCTAATTCAACGTAACGCGGTGCATTTTATGGCTCGCGACTGCCAATCCACCACTCCTGGCTTCGTCACTGGCCTCTTAAAAAGATTTGACATCCCCCCTCCCCTTAAGACAGAAGAGAGGGACTCCGCCTGATATTCTTATATATAGTGATCATGGGACTGGTGCCGGCCATCCCAGTAGGCACATACCTCACCCCACAGAAGCTGGGTAGACTGATCAGAGCAAAACGCTCACTGAACACGGACTTCACCACTGACATTCCCATAAACAATTACACCAGAAACAATAGCAAATGCTTCAAGATACCTCAGTGCAACACAGTGCAGTATCAACAATCTTTCTTCCCAAGCACAATAATAGCATGGAACCACCTGAACGATGTCACTGTGAACTCGACATCAGTTGAAAGCTTCAAGGCTGCCCTGGCATAAGCTAGGAGCTGTTAGAATAGCAACATCATATCCCCAACCGTTGCAAAGATGCCAGTACATGGATGCAGCAACGAAACATTACCAGAACCAGACTGATATTTAATTTTAAAAATTTTGTTTGATATATTTTTGTATAGTCCAATGTTAAAATTGTATGAGGATTTTAAAATAAAGTTTAGTGAAGTCATAAAAATGAACTTTTTTTAGGGGTAACAGTAGATACTCTGATGACAATTATGGCTTTAACTCCATATCACGAAATTTTTTGGGAGAAAGTCCTTTGAATGCCTGGAAGTGGGGGGTCACCAACAAGCTTCTCATCATCTAAATCTTACATGTAAGAGGCAATATTTTCAATAAAGATCTCCCAAACAGAGGCCATGAGTTTCCATCTAGACTAGCTGCTGCCAGCTGACATTGGAAATAGCCTTTGAAATGCTTTCTGGGAGCTCCTCTATTGTGTATTCCTTTGCACAGCTTCCTATAGAAGACTATGAAAAAGAATTCCTGCCCAAAGGTACCTTTTAGTCTTGTAAGAAGCATGGCCTTGGTACTCTTACAAACTGGACTCTTAAGAGATTATTTTTGCCAATTATAAACTACGTTTGTCAAGTAATAGAGAATTTAGCTGATGACATAGGTTTGGTAGACCTGTAGTTTGGTGGAGAAGCATGGAAAGTGATATGCTACAGTTCTCATTTTTGAAAAGCAAGTTAACATTGCCATATAGTATCTAATCTATCCTATTTATAAAGATTACCCGAGTGCAGTTTTTAGTGGAATGGCTAATCTAATTTAGCATTGCTTTTTTACAGTCTGGTTTTAATGCTAAAATAAGTACATACTTGCTTCATCAATTCCAGATTCTCTGCCCTCGATTCCTCCAGGTGTCTCCTTAAATCTCCCAACTGAAGCTCAAGAATAATTCCCATTGATTCCCCCTGGTTTCCAATACTTTCTGTGAATTTAAGGGAAAAAATTATAGGATTATAACATAACTTGTTCATGTGATAATAACATAACATAACATGTATTTAGGAATACATTGCACACTTGTAGTACTTAATGGTACATTTTTTGTTTAACAAAATATAAAACAGGGTGACATGTCGCATGAACAATATTTAAAAAATAAAATATCGTGAGGTGTATGACTATGGGGTATAGGGTATTATTGTATACAATTATATAGCTCATAGCTATAATAGAACAGATGTTGCAAAATAACCTTAACCACACATAACTGCAATGAAATTTTTGGGGATAAACATACACACATGAGGTATAAGTGAATGGCATTTCACTGTTAACATCAAGTTAGGAAATTGATTCGCCTTAAAATCTTACCATTGTGTTTGATCTGCAGCTCCTCAAAGCATTGCTTTAGGTGTTTATTTCTCTCCCTGGCCAACTCTAAATTTGCTTGCAAGCAATTCCTGTCCTCTTGCAATCTGACATGTTCCTCAGCCATACTGGACAGCTCCTCTTCCTGCTTTTTTACCTCTGCGGCAAGCCGTCTCATATTTTTTAGTGAGTCTTTATTGTTTTCAGCCTGTGCTTCAAGATCTTTTATCTTCAAGTGAATAATGAACTCAGTTATGAGAATACAAAAGAATAATTGTTCTTTTTTTTCTCCAAATATTTCCAAATAAATGTAATAACTTAAGGTTAATAAGAATTGTATTAAAGTTGGGTTTAGTCAAATATTTATTGCTCCTAATGAAAGGTAAAAGCCTAACTTTTGCCTCTCTAATCTAAGTTATAAACATTAATGATTAAACTTTATTAAATTTTGTTTAAAAAGCTGTCACTAGAAAAATTTGAAATTTAAAAAAAAAATAATAATAATTTTTCTCTTTTATTTTTCTTTTTGACAGAATATAATTTAAAACTTAAATAAAATGTTTGAATTATCTTGTAATAGAAACTCATTAAACAATTAATCTGTAATCACTGAAACATAATGTTTTAAAAGTTTCCAAATGGACCTTGAAATGTAGTTTTGAGATTTCCTGGGCACTCTCACTGCTTTCTTTCTCCAAGATTTCACACTGTTCTCTATACTTGAGCAGTGATTTTATTTCCTCTTGTAATCTGAGGGAGAAACATATTTCAGTTCATAATCTCCACATTGACTAAATCTCACAGCAGCATTGTTAAGTTTAACTGATTAGATGTAGTACAGTTTTTAATATTAAAAAAACAACAAAAAAAAGGATTACATTTATCATTAAAAGAGGGTAACATTTATATAGGAATAAGCCTCTGTTTTATTTTTTATAGTTGCTTTTTTTAAGTTTTACTATTAGTAAGGGAAATAAAAATGGAGTTTAAAAAAATGTTATGCCCCAGTGCTCTTGAGAATGACAAAGTGCCATACAAAATAAAATAATTCATTAGTCATTAGTTTTAAAAACGTATTTCTACGTGACTTGGGAATGTCCATCATGCACAGGTATAGACAACAATTCCCCACATACTGGTCAACCCTTGTTTTCATATTTTTCAGTTCCTGTTCACTGTTTACTGACATCATCATCTGGAGCTCTCTGATCCTCTCATGCAACTGCTGGATCTCACCATCTGAACAGAGTGATAATAATTTTATTATTAACACCTTTCTATGTTTTAATCGGATAATAAAGAAAAATGCATGAGAATAAGATTGTATGCATTTGCCTTGGTATACAAATGTCTAAATGACCAAAAATACATAAATGTAACTTTTTAAAATCTGATACATTATTTAATTTTTTTTTGTACTTAAACCACCTACTGCAAAGTAACACTATAAAATAGGTACTATTATGTTAAACACCCCAAAAACTTACTAGAATATTAAACAACTTATCAAGATGGGCAAACCTTTGTTATACATTTCCAATAATTTATCCTGTAGATTAAGCTGTGCCTCCTCCTTTAGAAGGATCTCTGTGTTGAGCAGCTCCCTCAACTTACGAAGCTCAACATCTTTTTCCTTTATTAAAGCCTTCAAAATAAAATGTTTAATTTAATCTAGCAATATATTGGCAATGGAATGATATGATGATTTTTCCCCCCACGAATATTTAAAAGCACTTTTAGTTAAGTTAATGTGTTGAACGAGTTAAAATGCAATAATTGTTGCAGATAGCAGGTTGAGGCAAAATTTGTATTCTCTCTTACAACTCTTCAACTAATGTCTTTAAGAACAACCAAAATAGAAATTTATATTTATGTGTAAACATAATGAACTTAAATTTTGCCAAGATGTGAGCCAACTAGTGTAATAAAAACAGGACAGTGACTTGACAGTCTCATGTTAAAATCATGACTAGTCAAAAAGTTTTCAGCCAAGTAGAATGAATGAACACCAGTTCTCCACTAATGAGATCAACTAAACATGGCCTCAGACTTGTGATAAAATTGAAAAAGTCAAAGAACATCCGAAGGTTGATGCTAACTAGAACAAACTTCTATGCTGAAGTTAGATATACATTTTGGCTGCATTATATCAAAAATAAGTAAATATAAGTACATCACAGATTATTGCCTGAAAGGATTCAACTGAGCCTGTCTGGGAAACCATTTTCACAAACATCACCCAGAAAAAAAAAGCAACAAATTTGGACATGCAGGCAATTAATCATTCACTACCTTCTGAATAAACTGTGGTGAATTTGTAAAGTTGACTAGGGATGAAGATGGGGACCTGATGTCCAGAGTCTTGAAAGGAGAGGAAATGTCTGTGAAAGACGCATTTCCTAGAAATATTTGTCTATCAGGAGTCTGATCTTTGATAAACAAATTCCTGGGACTGAACTGTGTTCCCACAGAATCCTGCCATTTCTCTATAGAAGTATCCGCCTGACGGGAGACAGTGCTTGGGGACCAGTTCCTTTGATCTGTAACATTAATTCAATTTTACCCTTATAAAATTTACCTGAAGCTGAGGATAAAAATGACCAAAAAAAAGAAGAAAAAAAAACAAACTTCAAGATAACTCAAATCAGGGGAGCACTTAAAGTTGTAGATTTGAAGTCAGGAACTGGCTCTGATTATTATTATAAAATGCTTTTCTCAAATTATTATTTATCTAAAAAAATATAGTCAACTCTTGAATCATGTTTAAATGGCCTGGAGTCGGAATCAAATAACTTAATTCCATATGCCTGACCCATAGCCTTAGGGTAGTAATAATACATTATAAAACGTGAACTGTTTATTTCGTGTTCCATGCTTATGCAATCTAATGGTTGAGAAAGTAATGTGATTTGTACCTCTACCCCCTCGTAGCACTTCTTCAATTCTGTTGGTCAAAGTCACTTCTGTAGACTCTGGAACGACTACACACTGGATTAATGCCAGAACCTCATCTTGAAGATCCTGAGGCACTGCTAGTGCAGACTCCATAAATGACTTTCTGTTGGTACATAAGATTCCAATACCCAGCAACACCACAGCTATCTGAGATTTAAAAAAAAAAAAAATTTTTTTTTAAATGTGTAGTTCAACATTTGTTTTAAATTTACAAATAATTTCATCTCAAGTGTCGGACTTTTAAAATTTTTAAGTTTAAAGCACTAAATACCTTGGCAAGTTCAATCTTTAACTGGTCTTCTGATGTCTCAGTCTCTCCAAGGATCGCATCAAAGTTAATAAATTTATCAACAAGTACATTTTCTCCATAGAAGTCTGAAAATAAAATAATGTACACTAATGTACTGTATCCTTTTGACCAAGAAAATCATACACAATTTATTTTAAAAACTGAGTTTTCTCCATTATAAGGTGACACATTTTTTCAATTACAATTTTTTTTCTTTTTGCCCATAGGGTGTTTTTGTGGTTTGATAGCATTGCTTTTAATTTCAATTGAAAAATAATTCAAAGGATAATCAGATATAAAACAAATAAGTAATGTGAGGTTTTTTATTTTATTTAGTTCAGTTAAAGAGAGTAGTATTAGTATTTATATTATTCATTCCATAAACTTGCTCACATAAATTATAATTTCAAATCCTGTAAGTAGAAGAATTGAATGATCTCAAAGACACAATAAAAATAATAAGACTGTAAATGGCAAAAAAATATAGTGAAACTGGTGTATCGAAACCATGTCTGTACTTGATAGTTTGAAACCAAATACATCTGCACACACTTGATAAAGAGTTAAAATGGTTGGGAAAGGTGACAGATTTATTGCTCTCTGGAAATGAAGAATTTGCGTAGCAGCTTATACTATTCCTGCATCATCAGTTTTGTGTTTCTATCACCAAATGTGTATCCCATACCTTGCAAAAATGTCCTGATATATTGATGTCTCTCTCTACTTGTATCAAAGGCAGGTGATGATTTTTTAACTGGCTCCCTGAAAATGCCAAGAGGAAACAATAATTTAGCAAACCAACCAATGGCTAAGGAAAAAAAAATTATGTTAGAAGTGTTTTCTTCATTGATGAGCCTATCGCACTATGACTAACAATTTTTCAATACACATCAAGTAGCAAGAAACATTTCTATACAATTTATATTGTTATATAGAGCTTGTTTACATAATTTTTCTCATGCGTGCACTCTGATTAACCCTGCATGAGACGCTGTGTTCACAGATGGGTGTGGCTTAGACGTTTGATCTGTCATGTTGATGCCAACAGCCACTAAAAATAATTAATCTGTTCCAATTAGTATTTTGTAGAATGACTGTGATTGCTCTAGAAATGCTATGTAGCTTCTCGAAGGCAGGGCTTAGGCGTCGGTAGACCCACCTATATAAAGGATTGACAGGCTCGGAAAAAGACGGAGATTCAGATAGATATTATTAACTTTACGAGGCGTGTATTATTCTTTGTTATTTCTGTGCTCATACTTATATGTGTTCATATCGCATTCATCATTATTCATTGGAACATTATTCTAACTGTATTAACTGTGTACCAGTACAAGATCTACCATACTGTAAGTTGAAGATTGTCAGTATATTTTCTTTTATTTTGTAATTATCTTAAGACATAATAAATCTTATTAATTGCAACTGGCAACTGTTTTGGGTGTCGTATCTTTAATATTGTTGACTCTATGGTATCGTCCTTTGTTAGGCACTACTTACAACGAGCCAATTAAAATAGGGGATTAATTTCTCCCAATACAAGTCAGTGCTTAACAATATATAAAGACAATTCACTTGGCAACTGTAACTTATCTTTTAAGACTATAGACTATAGTTATTTTTGTATAATAAACAGATAAATTTGATCCCACCAGTAGTTGCTGCCGGCTTCTGACTTTAGGGTTTCAGAAATTTTAACTAGAGTTTAACATTTCCCCATCCAAATTTTAATCCAGCTAAATCTTGGTCAAGTCAAGAGACAGACAACTTACATATACTAATAATAAAATTAATAATAATAATTATAATAAAAGGGGCAGAGTCACCTTAGAATTCACATATGAAATGAAAACAAAGCTTGAACATTTTAGAGCAAACAATAATTAATCTGTAAATTACACTCACAGTAATTCCACAACATGAATGAGAAAATCTCCATCTCTTAATTGAAGAATGTTGGTAACATCTCTGTCCCACACCAGGCTAATCTAAAATGAAAAGAAACAATGTACTGACAAAAAACCCTTTCCTTAAAAAATTTTGACTAAAGTTAATTTTAATAGTTAATAACATGCTCAATCAGCTATGTTGAAAGTATTATACCAAATCTGTCATATTTAATTCTAAAATAAATCAAATTTCTAAAGATGATCATTTATAAATTTGATGAGAAATTATTTGATTGCTTAGAAAATATTTTAAAGTGTATACATTATTTTCAGCAGTTTAATATTTATTACAGTGCTGAGATGATATTTTTTCCCCCAATACTTTCCGATAACATGATCAAACATTTTCATAAATTTGTTAAAAAAATACATTTATAATATTATACTCACAAATTTTAAGACTGCCAATTCTTTGTTTGCATCCATGCTATTGTTTGATGTAAATCAAAGCAGGCAGAGTTTTAAAGTTCTTCTCATTGTCTTGGGTTATAAACTCTGCAATATATGAAAACTTTTTTTTATATTTTATGCCTCATATGTTAGGAGATTTCGTAAAATTTGCATATGCTATCAAGACTAAAAGAATACACCAAAGTTGTCAACTGATTGCATAGCCCGGCCTGATTGTCTTATGCTAAAAAAATCAAAGCTGTATCATTATTATGCTTTATATTTTATGCCTCATATGTTAGGAGATTTCGTAAAATTTGCATATGCTATCAAGACTAAAAGAATACAACAAAGTTGTCAACTGATTGCATAGCCCGGCCTGATTGTCTTATGCTAAAAAAATCAAAGCTGTATCATTATTATGCTTCCCTAATTACCCATGTCAATAGTAAATTGAAATAATATAATTATGTCATATCATATTAGGCCTAAACCATGATATTTTATCATTTATAACTTTTCATAAGATTAGTTAGGTTCCAATTAAGCAGATTCAACAAACTTGCCAATCCAGGATTTTATCGCCATCTTAATTTATATACTTTACCATTGATCTCTTATTTTAGTGCAGTAAGTATAATGCAAATTGAAAAGCATTTTTTTTCACTTCATAGGACATAGTTAACTTTTTTACAAATTAAGAATCAACTTATCTCATTATAAAGAGTATTTTATAAGCCAAATATTGTCTTCTTGCTCCAAAACAAAAACTATTCAATAATCATAAAAAAGGGTACATTCCATGCATCTTTTGTTCTTCACTGTGCCATTATGGTATACAAGGAGCGATCAGAAATTATAGAACTTCCCTCGTACAGAGGCGGTAGGTTTTTTAAATTTTAAAAAAAATTTGTCTGCTTTATGGTGCTTTTTGATTTAGACTGCTTTATGTTGGTTTCTTTTACAGCTTTAACTTTAATGATTATGGCATTTTCTTTAGTTTCTTTCATTGATTTTAAACAATAGATTCCACACATGAGGCAGTGCATTGCCAAACTGGAGGAGATCAACCAATACCCCTATTTGAAACTGTTGATGGAGGTAGAGGTTTTTGATCAACCAATGGGTGAAGATGAAGTGTTGCTAGAGTTTTGGAGCCAGAACTACCAACCATAACTTTTTAAACTGAATTAATTTCAGACAGGCATTATTTATTTGTACTGAAAATTCATAGTTATGGCTTTATTGCATTAAAATATATGCCATTTTTTGCAAAATTTAAATTGTTCAACAAATTTTAATGATACCATATGATTATATTTATTATATGATTATATTTATTATATGAATATATGATTATATTTTAAGAAATATAATAAATTAATTAAATATTCTTAAACAATTTTTTAGACTTTTAGACTTTGTGTAGTTAAAGGCATGGGTTTTGCCAAGAGTTGTCTCACCCTATGCACAGTGGCATCACATTGGGAAATCCCAACACTGGACTTAGGAGGAAAGGACCAACAGTTGGACCTGAACGATGAAAATAATAACTTTCCCGTTCTTCACTCAGCGTTATTCGCGTCAAAAACATAATCTGACAATCGATACACCTAATATAAAATAAGTTAAAATGACATTTTCCATTTAGTTTTTATAGAAATTCAACAAGTTTAAACAGAAATAAAAAGAGAAAATCATCCTTGCTGTTACCCCAAGATGAACCCCGGAAAAAGATGTGTGCATGGTTAAAAGTGCTGTTGTATTGTATTGGTTGAAAATGAAATACCCGTATCAACTCATTTTCGAGGCTGAAAACCCCCCTGTTAATTTACAAAAAAAAATAATTAAAAGTTATAATTTTTACATAAAAATCTAAAGCCAAAGCAGTGTTCAGTGTACACGCCACTGATATCTCGTATTGTTGGTGTAATGAGTCAATGATAATATAATAAATTATATCAAATTTATACTTTCACAATGTCATTATCATTCAGTTTGTTATAAATTATATTAGGTATTACACTAAAAATTTCAAAGTTGTTATATATTAATGAAACTTATATCATTAGAAAGGAATCAGTATTTCCATTCCATTGATACCTATTTTATCCTTTACAGGGAAAATCGTTATGGCATTTTGAATATTGAGAACAGGCGCTATATTTTTAATGAAATTTACATAACCTCTGTTCGTCAAATCCCGCTCATTAATACATAATTAGTCAAAATATTAATATGGAAATGGCTTGATATAAAAGTCGAATGCCTAATTAAACTGTGCTGAAAATATGAAGGCTTTAACTTTACAGATAAAAAAGTTATGGTATTTTGAGTATTGAGAGCAGGCGCTACGTTTTAAATGAAATTTACGTACCCTCTGTTCGTCAAATCGCACACATTAATATGTTTATTGTAGTATTTGCATAACAATGATCTATTATTAAAGCCAAAAACTTCATTGAAATGCGTTGCAAATTTCAAAGCTTTAACTTTGCTGAATCAAAAGTTATTGCATGTTGAGTGTCAAAGATGTCTTTTTTCCGTCACAGAATTTTGAAAAATATTCACTAAGGCCAAGGCTATATAAGAAAAAATTCTGCCACTAAAAATGCGATAAATTTTGTTCTAATTAAGATAGAAAGATAAAATAGGTATCAATGGAAAGAAAATACTGAGTCCTTTCTAATGATATAAGTTTCATTAATATATAATTAATTATTAATATATAACAACTTTGAAATTTTTAGTGTAGTACCTAGATAAGGTTTGGTTAAGTTAACTAAACATAACTGACCCTGACTGTATAAAGTACTGTAATCACGTCGAGTTCATCTAAACTCAGATACAGAAGCTAATTAGAATCGAAGGTAAATATCACCTGAGATTGTGAGTTTTATTTGGTAAGACTGGAAAAGGGAATCACAACAAATCATAAATGCCGCTAAGCGGAAGAATAATATAAGGAAGGAAACGGAAGTAGTAACTATAGAGAGGGTGTGTGTGCAGTATTAATTATTGATCCGTAAGTGTTGCTTCAAAAAGACTTTCAATTAGCCATAGTCTTTAACTAAGCTGTAGTATTGTTTGTTAACTTTGAATTAATTCTATATGGAATTAAATCAGTTTTTAAACATTTTTGAAAGAATATCAAGTTAATTTTGTTTTTCACTATAAGTGACCATCCATAAGGTACGTCACGCTCTGGAGTCGGGAGGGGATCTTAGAAAGTGTGACAGTTTGTGACGTCACACATTTTAATTTTTAAATAATACATATATAACTTAAAATTAACGGCGATGTTAAAGTTTCTGTAAGTGATTTATTCTGAAAGAAGATGTCATTTGAATAAGTTCAAATATATAAATCGTGAAGTGTGATTTAGATTAAAATTTCAATACATTTTTAATTTTTAAATAACTTTTTAGTTTAAAAAAGTTACAATTTTTTTTTGGGGGGGGTGGTGTCTAATATTTGTGATTAGGGGGTGGGGATGGAGGAAGTAAATATTTTCCATAAATAGCGTGGGCGTGACGTACTTTATGGGCGGTCCCTAAATAGTATAAGTAGCCCTAATTTGTTTTAATTTACTAATTTACGGTTTTATTTATTGTAATTTTAACGTCATATTAAAATCTTTAAATGTATCTCAAACGTATCTCATTTCATTTCATAATTTTTAAACGTTTTGTCTTCATAAATTTCTGTCACCTAACGACGCCAAGTTATTTTGGGTACTAATTTTTATTATTCATTGAAAAGGGAAACAATAATAGAAGCTGAATAGATAACAAATTTTTTCGTACTAATAGAACTTTTTTTTTAAAAAAGCGACGTGTTGTCCACAGTTACCAAAATGGCGGCTGAGGGAACTTCGTCCAAAGCACCAAGGCAGAGGTATTTATTAGTTTAAGGGTGGTACACAAGTAGTAGATCTACTTTTTAAAAAAAATCAACTTATGTTAAGAAATCATTTTTTTTTAAAAAAGAAACTGAGAAATGACCTTTCGGTTTTATTATTTACTGTTTTTTAAATATAAATTTTTGAGTATCATCAAAAAAATGAAATTGAAAAGTCTATGTATTTTTAAATGTTATTAAATTAATAATTATAATTAGCGGCTAGTGCTAAGAGATGTCTCCATGATGTCGTTTGCATCTCTTTGCATTTACCTAATTAGCTACGGTACTAAATATATAGGCCTAGTGTATGCACTTCGATGAAAATTTTAAAACATTTTTTTAAAATATAAAAATTATAGAGTTATAGAGTATAGAGCCCAGAGAATGGATTACAAAAACACCAAGATCAATTTTCTAACTCAAGACTTGTGGTTCAAAGGTTATCATTTTTTTTAGTAATGACCGCAAAATCTCTTTTTATTTCACCACTAATATTAATATTACTATGGCTATGGCATGGGCATGGGGTTTTCCTCTATGAATTTGTGACCTCATAGACTATAGTGTCTATAGTCTATAGTATGGACATCATGGCAATGATGAGATGGCTAATCTGTAATCATTGCAATGCTGACACTTACCACAGACAGTGACTTTTCTAGTGAGCTCACTTGATGTGGATGACATAGTAACACTACTGACAGAAAATTATAAATATAAAACAAAGTGAACATTAATAATTATAAAGCATTTAACTATTGGTCTAATTTAGTAAAAAGCTAATAAATTTCCCCTTAAATGAAGTAGACACATAATTAAAAATTTTAATTTCACAAATAAGAATAATACTAAAATAGCATTACCCACTTGTTCTGCAGTGCTTTGCCCATTCAGGAGTTAAAGGCAGTGAAAAGGGTGCAGCTGAATGAAATCATACCACCAGTTGACTTTTCTTTCCTTCATATAACTGGGATAGAGGGTAAAAACAAATATTTTATTTAAATAAATACCTTTGTTGACTTTTTTTACATAACAAAATCAGGTTTGATTTGTTATTATTTATTTAATATCACATTTGATTTTTTTTTTGCAATAATAGTTATGACTAAAAAATATAAATTGTTATTGTAGTGTTCACTTTTACAATAAAAAAAAAATTGTGTCTCTTCAACCAGAATGTCAAAATGAAGAACCAAGAGATACTTCACCGCGTAAAAATCAACCCACCAAGAAAAAGCATGAAAAAGAAAAAAGTGATGAAAAATCCCAGAGCATGTGTCTGCGACTCAACAATAATTTTTTGAAGAACATAAATAACATTTCGTCAATTGCTGCATCATTATTTGATAACCCTGCTAATATCAGCTGGATTGATCTGTCATTTAATTTACTGGAAAATATTGACCCTGTAAGTGCAATTTGTTTTAAATTTTATAAATCTTTTATTTAAGCATAATAATTTTAAACTAGACTCAAATCATCCGGGGGCCACAGGATGCAGTCTGAGTGAAACTGGGCCGCATCAAGTACTCCATAAAAATCGATTAGAAGTTCAATATGGTACAACTGTTACAATCTGCTCAAATTTTATTAATAACAAATAAAAACATTAAGGGTTCGCAAGAACTAGGCTTCACTTTCCTCCTCCTAATCCTTGTTGCCAGGGACCTGGCAGCACTTCTTCTTACACAGATGAGCAAAATTTGGCTTGAGTAAGGAAGCAACTGAGACACTCAGTATAACTTGAAGACGCTCATCAGTAAGTTTTGCCTTGAACTATGAATTGTTTAAGTTCATAGTAGAAAAGAGCCTTTCACACAAATGGGTACTCCCGATAAGGAACATGATCTGCTTGAACAACCTGGAAATCTCAGGGGAGGTGAAGGGCAATGCTCTTATACATTATCCATTTTTTTATTTTTTTATCATATAAAAAGACTTTTTGATTAACCCTATTTTGAAAGTAACCAAGCTGACAGTCTCGAAATGTCCCTCACTCGTAAACACTAGTGGCAATTTTAATTGGGATGCTTTGATACTGTGTCAGATGGCTACGATTTACACAATTATGGTTGTGCATTACCCACTAAGTGACTTTTAAAACTTTTCTCAAAACAGCACTTTGGCCATGTTTGTCTCATAAAATTCTATAAAATAAAAAACGTTTAGTCCAATTTTGAACCGGTTTTTACCATTATAATCACGTCCAAATCTATACAAACATAATAAAAATCAGTATAAGACTAGTCTTTAGATGCGACTGAATCCATCGCAAAAGGTCACATTACAGATATGAGAATGGGGAAAACGCGTGGGCTGCATTAACACTAAACTTTGCTGTCATGTACCGGGCTGAAAAATATCATATTGCGGGCCGCAAATGGCCTGCGGGCTGCAAGTTTGAGACCCTTGAACTAGAGAAACTAAAAGAATGGTTTAATCTAACTTCTTAACGCTTTTTAAAACTAAAAGTGTGTTGGATCTTCTTCATTATATAACTAATACGTATTTGTTATTTAGAGTAAAATTTCATTCATTAAGATTTTAGAATTTATTATATTTCTTTTGTATTTATTATTTTACTCCAGCTAAAAACTTCCAACTAACATTTTATATTCACAAAGCACTTAGAGTTAAATGTGAAACATTCTATCCTCATGACATTTATACTCTCATTACAATGAAAAATGAGGTTATAAATTAACTTATACTGAATTAAAAAATTTTGCCAAGAGGAAAATATTTTATTAGTTAATTTAAATACAGGAATCTGTATTATTACAGCCAGCAGTTATAACATTATTAACTGAAGAATTGAGTCTTCTTATATCTAAATTGCTATCAAATTCATCATTTAAGTCCATTTAAAAGTGATAAAAATACTAATAATCAGTATAAATAACACCTCAAAATTTGACACAAATCTGACTTACAACAAGCTATTTTCATTGAAAAGATGTGATTTATCCATTTATGAATGATGTTAACATGCTAAAAAGTGTAGTAGTGTGCAATGGATGGGAGATAATTCATGCATTCTAAACAGATGAAAAATGTTACAAATTATACTTTTTTCAACTTTTCATTGTTTTTCTGTACATTTTTTCATGCTGTTGTATTTCTTTGAGACTTGTGTACAGTTTGTGATCCCATAGGTCGACATGTATTGATGGAGACTCAAGTTTGTGCCAAGACACACTGCCAATGGGACAGATTTATAGACATATGTCTCCGAGCATTGACCTTTAAGCTAGCACAAATCTGATCAATAATCTTTTTCCATTCTGCTTCACAGATGCCTTGGTTTCTGGTGGTGCAGCACTTTACTTCCCTTTGATGTAACATCATCCTATTGCATTCTGCCTTTTTAAAATTTGTGGTTAGGTCTTTGTATTATAGTGTAGCTCTTAGCTGATGGATATTTGGCAGACTTCACTATAATTGTTCAGTTCTCAGTACTTTTCTATTCTCTGGAATGGGGTTGTTGTCTGTGTTCTTGATTTGAGTCCATGAAAGCAGGACTACATGTATTGTTATTGTATTGTGGAGTACACAATTTTTACCTATTTTCTTCAAGGAGGTTCAATGTGTGGTTTTTCATCACAATGTTAACCTTGATTTTTAGTAAAATTTCTTTTGAAAATATTATACATTAAAGTTATAGTGTCTATTCCGTTTGAGGCCATAACCAAAATACTTTTCAGGCTCTTATCCAATTTGAGAATCTGAAAATTCTCTATCTCCATGGCAACAACATTGGAGACATGAAAGAAGTTAACAAATTAACAAGCCTCAAAAAGCTAATGAAACTTACTTTGCATGGAAATGATATTGAAAATATAAAGGTAAGTTTAAAATTTGTCTAAGCACAGGTCTGAAATCACTGCCTTACATATACATATTAAATTACATTTTCATTTAAGAAACATTGTTACTTTAAAGTTAAATATTCATTGTAGCAATATGATTTTTTTAAAGGAAGTAACAAAAATCTATCCAGCATCTTCCCCATGTCATGGAAAAAATAAATAAATAATAGAGAAACTTTGGATGAATTTAAAAAATCAGTTATATCCATAATATATATTTATTTAGATAAATATATGTAAATCAATGTTTTCTTTCAATATTAAGATTTTTAAATGTGTGAGATAAAACATTGCCAATTTACATTTCTTTTCTTCCAGGGTTACAGATTTTTTGTGTTGGCAACATTACCCAATCTGATTAACTTTGACTTTAGCAGAGTGACTAAAGGAGATCGGGTGACAGCAACCACGTTCAAAGGCTTTTACAATCCTGATAAGCCTAAAAAGATCAAACACAATGATTGAAATTAGTGTCAAGCCTAGGAAGGAGTGATATTACTTAACAAAATGTTTATTTTTCACCAGCCTTTTAGTTATGATGATATAAGAAGTAAAATTTAAGCTCTGATGTTTTGTATTCAAATTTAAAGCTAAGTTTAAATTATTGGTAATTTTTATTTTGATACTAAAATTTTATATTGTTGAGTTTATTTTGACATTATCAGAAAGAACTTTGATGAATTACCTGTATTTTAAATAAAATGATTTTAACCAATTTTGTCACTATTAATCATACACTGCAACATATATTGTTAAAATTCACACGCTAGAGCATCATGCTGTATCAAAGCAATTAAGCTGTTAATATGATCTTTATTCATATTTTACATAGTGCATAAAAATTAAGTCTTTTAAAATATTTGTAGCAATTATTGGACTAAAACCTTAAAACAAACATTCTCAATGTTTATTACTCCTGGCTTTGGAGAGCTTCTCAAGGTACCGTAAATGAACTTTTGATCCATGGGGTTTCAATGGAGAGCCACAATTTTGCCGCCAGTTTTGACCCATAGGTTGGAATATGATTGTATGGGCATAAACATATTGTTCTTGACTTAGTATATGTGTTCAGTGAAACACTTCGTCACTGCTTGGGGTCTAAACTGGGCTCTATGGTATCCCCTGTGCTGTGTCTAATCCATCCACTAGCACAAACCTGTACATATTTAAATACATTTGATTAAGTTTGAAAATAAATACAATATACACTTGAACAGGTATTCACTTCAACTTGTTGCATTGAGAACTTATATTTGTTGACTGAATCCTCCTAGATCAGGGATCTAGAACAAGATCCCCTTGTTTACAGATCGCAAGATGGTTATCATTAGATGTTTAAGTTTGTTCATTTTGAAATGTTAGCTTTCTTTAGCCAAAAAAAGTATTGTATATTTTTTTTACTTTCTTACTATAGTAATGATGGCTATTACTTTTATGTAAAGATCACTGGTTAGGAAATCTTGTACATGCCTGGGGGTGGCTCGAAGTGCAAGTGAGAAATGGGGAAAATGTACATTTTTATAATATCATTTTGAACAAACTTCCTTTCAAGCAAATTTCTGTTTAAGCCAATTTCTAACCAAAATAATTGTGCCAATAGTCATATTTTAAAGTAGATGTAAAGCCCAAGTTTGATCAAGTTTGTATTGAGATAATATATATATATATATATATATATATATATATATATATATATATATATATATATGAAAGCAATGAATATGTCACCTAAAACTAATTGCCTCTGTCAGCAAAAAAGTATAATGTGGAAACATTTTAAAAAAATAATCTGGTAAGTTGTAATCTACTGGCCCTAGGTCAGGGGAAAAAAAAAACTGCTTGCAAAAACTAAATCCTTAAATGCAGTGTTTATTTGTTTACTCTTCTGCAAAGCTGTTTAACATTGTTAATTGCTTGTGTTTATGGCTAAGAAGTAATTAAGTCATTAGAAAGAGTATGCAAAAAAATGGTTATTTATTTTTACTCTGTGCATAATGTTTATTAATTATATGCAAATTTGTTATGTTTTGCAATATTGGTAAATTAAAAATAAGTATTTCCTTCAAATTCACACAAAATAAAATTAACATAGATCATCACTAAATATCTTGGAACTTAGTTTATGAAATAGTATGATTTTTGAAATGAGATACTTTTGGCTGATATTAATGCTGCCGCTAGGAAAAACTAAACATCTTCATTGTATTTTTAATCCTTAAGCTGACTGTAAAGAAAGATTATATTTTTCTGAATAATACAATTTAAAAATACTCACCACAGCCACATGTTTATTAAAATATCAAAATATCATTTTACTAAGATTTTTTAAAAATAAATACGATTCTAAACATTAACCACTGGTTGTCCAAATTAAAATAGGCATTATTGCTTCAAACTAATATTGGTACAAAAAGTAATATTTGTTCCTTCCCTCTCCTTGATCATTATTTTAATCTCCCTGGCATAAGACGTCCTGAAAATGACAAATTATTATTTGGCAACAAAAACAGGACAAGATGTTTGGATTGGTCTGTTTATTAATGTTTTTGAATGGGAAACCAATAGAATATGCTAATCACATGTCTTGTTTCAAAAGTCGTACTGCAACATAATCAATAGTTACATGTCCATTCAGTGCACTTAGTTCTAGATTAATAAAAGCATTGCAATAATAAACTCATTTAAACAAACTATTAGTCGTCTAAACGGTATATTAAATACTTAAAAAACATATTTTATTATAAGGGATCATTAAAAAAACAAAAAAAAAGAGCAATCATTAGAAAATGATACAAGATAAGCCTTTCAGACTCTAATCTTTAACTTTCAAATTCACATATATTTCCATCTCACGCACTTGAGCTAATAATTAGTTTTCATCTGGATGCCATTAACGTACAACATTGACAAGAATAAAAATGTTTAAAATTGCACCATTAATGAAGTTTTATGCAGTTCTGCTTTATACAATATATAAAGTAATATTAAATTTTAGAGTTACTTCAGAAAATTAAGGATTTCATGAGATTTTCAGTTCAAATCACTTTTTATACCTTTAACAAAAAAACTTTTATTGTCGGTACGTAAGAACATTTTATTTTTAATCATCCAACTTATAATGTTGGACATTAATGTTGCACTACTAAAGAATCTTGCAAAAATTTATTCTTTAATCCACTATTACAATGCAAACACAGAGTTGATCAATATATTCTCATAAGCTGGAAGGCATGAAACTCAAAAGCAATCATTTAATATTTGTTAAGTTAGTAAATCTCTGTTGATGTGAGCTTCTATTTGAAGAAAATACCATCTGCTCTAGCACAGTCACCATTTTTTAGACATCTGTTATGCTGGTGAACATTTGTAAGTGACAATAAATATATATCCATCTCAGTACAGTGGTATAGTTCCAATCATAGTTAAAAATAATTTGTTTGCCACCCTTGGTCCCAGATGTACAAAGATTGGCTATAAATGTTATTACTTATGTAATTATAATTTAAACAAACAACAACAAAAAATACAACTTATTTACCCCTCCACCCAAAATAGATTTTAAAAAATGGGACACCAATAATACAATGAATGGTCTTAATTGATTTTAAATTTTAAAATTTTGACAAAATATCTATATCATCACATGATACAACTCATTGGCAAAAATTAATGTACAAAAAAAAACAACACAAAAACATTCACTGATTGCCATCTCATTATTTCAACAAGGAATCATCTCATGTTTGGAATCTCTGAAGATGTCATATTTTTTATGGAAACACTTCCTAAAGAGCACCACATTGTGAAAGTGATGTGTGGCTTGCAAGGAAGGAGAATAGAGAGTTTATTCAGTTAGTGGTAATCAATGTTCTGGTTTGTTGTTCAAATCAGGAAGAGTTACACATGGTATGTGACACAGAGTTAATTAGCAGCACAATAGAAGACAAATCTAGTGTTGATCTGATAAGTTACTATGATAGATAAACGCCAGAACGTGGAACAATAGTGTTCTTTTATATTTATCATATAGCCAGTGCAATGGATGAGCAAACTAGACACCTTATGAAGGTGACCCAGAGCAATTTCGACAAGCATAGTGAGACTGAGTTGCCTACTCAAGTATACATAATCATGACTTGTCCAGGATTAATAAAACTAAAACTTCATCCCTCAAATCTTTAAAAAAGTAATTGATTAAAACTTCCATAATTTCTCAGACAGATTTAGTGGATGACAGGATTATCAAACAATGAAAAAAAAAATTGTAATAAAATATTTTTAAAATTCAATTGAGGAAGCCAAATATTGCTAGCTATAAAGTATCTTAATAAATATAAAAAAAATGTAATAACTAGCAAAAATCCCTGCAAATGAAATTACCAGTAAAATAAAACCAAAGAAAAATTGACAACAACCCATGTCTTTTTGAAAATATTTACAGATTTAATTTTACACAAATGCTTAAGCCTTCTTTTTTATTATTTTTGAAAACTACCAAATATGATTGTACACAAAACAATGGTAAATATTCTGAAACCTGGCTGGATGTGGACTCAAATGAAAATTTCATTTCATGCATACAATAACCCATTTATAAGAATATATGTCATGCTATCCTTTCTAATGATGATGAAGAAGAAGTTATTTGAAAAAAAAAAAAAACAATACATGAAACATTTTTTAAAAAGTGAGATCCTTATTTCAGAAAATATAGAATATCATAATTCATTTACCGTATCAAATATGGCTGACTACACAGTCAGTTTGTTACACATAATTTCCATTATGAGCACTGTACAAGTTATGTGCAAACAAAAAAAATAACTTTCATAAATGTATCTTTGATCTGTAATAGCATGTTTGAATAGAAAAGTTTGAACAGCCTAGCTTAGCCCCATTCCACATAAGGTACCTTTTCACATCCAGACCATTTCGCAACCTGAGCCAGTTCATGAAACCATGCTAAATATAATTATGCCATAGTTAAGATATGGAACAATTACAAATCTATTCCTTTATTTTCAACTATTGAATAAGCCTTCTGTCAAAATGGAAAATAAAAAAACAGAACACAAAATTTATTAAATAAATTATAATAGTAATCTGTCGTAAACTCAAAATTAGGAATGAAGAAGAATTAACTTAATTGGGGTCCTAATCTATCAGGGCTGATTAGTTGGTTAGGTCTGGCAAGACATAGTAGTAGAAAAAAACATTTCATTTTCTAAAGCTTTATGTTCGTAAAATGTCTTTGTAACTGCACTAATTGTCCTATTCATCTGCATGGCTGGGGTAATCAACTGTTGAACCCTAGAGCTTTGCTTTTTTCAACAAAACTTCTATTACTTCTAAAACCTGAAGGGATAATATTTTATCAGACCTCTGCCCATACAATTTGAACGGTGGGCGACATCTCCATTCTTATCTTATCATGATTTAATCTGTAGAAACTTAATACACACAATAATTTCTGTTTTTTATTCTTTTATTTAGCGTTTTAAAACAAATACTTAATTCTTGAGAGTCATGAAGGTGACTGACTTTCATTGTCATCAGTGTTTCCTTCAGCATTACCGGTATCCCAACTATATTCTGTTGATCAATGGTTGAAACACACATCAAGCAAACAAGTATCAACATTCAAGTTATTGCAAAGAAATAACAACAAGAACATGAAAACAGTAATTTTGTAAAATTTACATTAAAGCTTAGTCACAGGATATTTTTTTTTGGTGTCAAATTATGAATTTACTTTTATTGGTATTAAAGAAAATTCTAAACACCTGTAAAAATTTTGAGAAAGTTTCCAATGATTGAGATATGGTGTACATAAATTAAACTAATATTTATTGTTCTAAGTAAATATTATCATTTTTGTTTAATGGATTTTCGGCAATTACTTTTGGTCTTTAAAATCTAAATCCAGCAGGCATTACTAATTCGTTCTGGATGTCTATGAAAAAAAATGTTTCCGCGAGTTCTTCTATTCAAATGTCATGTTAACATTAGCTCTATGAAAAACAATTAACTTCTCATCATCTTTTCACGTTTATGATAAAGCACAGCAATTTGAAAAGATGGTCATATAAATTAAATTCATACAAAATTACTGTAAGTGTAAGAAAAATCCAAATAAAAACTAAAAAAATATGTTGGGGCAATATATTTATTTCATCTTCTTCACAAATCCAGACTAGAAAAGTAAATATAAAAACCCCTCACTCGCACATCTGACTATTGTGATGGGGCCACAATAGGCTCAGCTCATTAAGTCTACACTATCCAAATGAATAATCAGAATTTTCAAATGATATTAAGAACCCTAAACAACTAATGTTCATGTAGAAGTAACGAAAACCAGGTTTGTATGCTTGATCTTGGCTAATCAGTACTTTATTATTTTCATATTATATATATGCTGCACAAACAGTATATTTTTATATATACTTTTTTTCCTCATAAATGTGTAAGAAATAGCATAGCCTTTTCACAAAAAATAAAAAAAGCTTAAATAAAAATAATTTATAGCAGGGAGTCTTGTATGGCTGGTTAGCTCTAGGCTTTCTGCTACCATCAGCAAAAAAAAGAGTAAAAAAAAATGATTCATCACCATTTATTATGTACATATTCTTTAAATAGTTTTTACTTTTCATGATTAAAAAATAACAAACCGCTCTCTCTCTCTCTCTTTACCCACAAAAGGCTAAGGTTAAAAAGGGAAGCGCCAGATAATGTTGCTTCCCCAACTTCCTTTGCTGGTGTCTGTGGTTAAAGAGAGGAGGCAATGAAGAGAATATGGAGGGCACAACATTTTAAAAACAATAAATAAATCTACATCACAGCACGTATTTTAGCTGTGACTCTCTAAGCTCTCCAATTTTCCAGGAGACACCAAAAGCCTAATGACTTTTGACATACACTTTTAAAACATTTGGTTAGGTCATGTGACAGAAAATGTACTTTCCACTGCAATTTTAAAAATATTTTTTTATAGGACATAGAGAAGCTCTAGATCTTTGATTAAACTGAAAAAGTTGTAATTAGGACTAAATTGCATTTACATCTCCTTAAAGTTACAGCTACAATATCTAATGTACTAATAAATTACAAAATCTTTATAACTTTTACACTATGCTAAAATTTACCATATTTATTTATTTTGTAGCTACAGAAAGAAATTGTGTCTTTAAATATTTCTTTTTTCAACTGTTGTTCACACCCTCTTTGGCAGATAACATAACGAGCATATTTCAGAAATAACTTCTACTTATGTGTCTCTTAAAAATTTGATGCACTTGGGAAACTCCCAGAAACTGACCGACAGCGTGGACTCATTTGTAGATCTTTGTACATACATAACTTTCTATGTATTCAGTGCATTACATGAATAAATTATGAAAATAAATAATGTTGGCTGACAAAAAAAACTGTGAATCAAAATATACATACATGATAATTGTGAAGACTAACGGAAAGGGTCATCAAGTCCTCACCAGTAACATTTAATAAGTGCTAAAAGGCATATCAAATAATAATAATTTAGACACATACAATCCTCGGATAAAATAATATATTTGAATGACTCTCCTGATGACAATCACGCAGACATGATAACATTGTCAAATAAAACAAGTACTGATGCATAAAAATGATCCAATGGCTTTTAAAATATATTAAAAATAATGCTTTTCGTACGGTTTTGTTGATGAACCCTTGATTAAGTGGAGCTAGCTGCTACTGCTACATGAAACCTTCATCAAGTGGAGCTAATGGTAACAGGGGCCAGAGTAAAGTGTAGGGATGTTTTTTTAATGTTACATCTGATGCCAGTGACTAAACCAATGTGAGATGGTTTTATATTGCACCATGTAATAAACAGGAAATGGGACATCCAAGCTTCATTTCACACACTTGATCAAGCATAATTCTAAATGTCGATACCTATAGAGCTAGGTATCTGTGAATACTTATCATTCGCAGTTGATAATGAGAGGGAAGAGAAATACTGAGATCTTCAATAACCCTTGAGTTCACAATTCATATCTCAAACAATGTTTATTTCATAACCATACATTTGTTCCCATGGCCTTGATAATGCGAATTCAACAGTGAAAATAAATATTACAATTTAGATAATTTCTATCACACACATCAAGGTCATCTTGTGCATAGTTTGTTCATTTTTTCAGCCCCGTACAGAATAAAACTACAGGAAAATACAGTTAAAACAGAAAATAAGTGTTATATTTACATAGGATTTCTTTAAATACAATTTACATGTTGTAAATTATGAGTGGAAAGGTACCAAATTACAATATATTTATTTGTTTTCTTTCAAGGGGGGGGGGGCCTTAAGATCAAGAATAGTCTGTGCATGTTCTCGCGGATAAAGACAACCTGTAGTGGAACTGCTGTAAAGCCACTGGGAGTACCAGTGGTACATTGCAACATTATAGATTTTAATTCTAAAGCACTGGCAGAATATGTACAGTATTATTATGAGTTTGCTCAGTAAAATTCTATTAGAAAATGTGAAGCAATCCAGATGATATTGAAATTATAAAGCAAAGGTTAAACTACCATTTATAAGCTAGTTCTATTCCATATATCTATCTATCTATCTATCTATTTATATACCTTTAATGGCTTTGGATTATCAGTCATACATACTAATGTTCAAATGCGGATCAATTAACTTTTTTTTTTTTTATCTGGTACAAGTTGTCACTTCAAGCTTACGCATTTGGCTTAATGTTATCTAAGGCTAAATTTTCAAAAAATGTATTTCTTCTAAATTTGTATTGCTAAAGAGGTTCAACACATTAACTATATCACTTTTGAAATCATTATCCAAACAATATTCATGGTGTGGCATTAGACAAAGATTTATTTGCAGATGTTTAACGATTTAAGGAAAATAAAAAGGACACAAATAATACTATACAGCTCATTTGTAAGTTATGAAAAAAGAGACAATGATTTTTATTAAAGCTCCAATATCATTCGCCAAGGACTGCTTGGCAGTTTACACCAAACCCTAACCCAGCTAAGACATTAGCGTCTCTAAACAATGAATTCCCAAATATTTATAAAGAATTACCAGAGGAGATTATAAATATACCAGTTTAATGATTTACAGAACAGATCTTTTCTTTAAAAAAAAAAAAAAACTGGGTCCAACTTAAAATTGAAGGATAAAATATTTGCAGCATTTTAACTGACAGCTTGTAAATTGGCAATATTGATTAAATCATTTGGCTTATTTCTTCTGGCACTCACAAATCCTCACACAAAGTGCAAGTTTACTTTAGAGGCCGGCCAATGGCTAAAACATCTCACACATATTTGACTAGACTCAACTTCCTTTTACTCCAGACCCAGTGCCCAATTTATGACTTGAACTATTCCAATGATGACTGGCTGCCAGGCAACCAAGTATCTGATCCAATCCAGTAGATTTCCATACATGACATGAGGGCGCTCCCATCTGATTGGATGTTAAGGATGAATCTCTTAATTTTTAAAAACGGGTTAACCAATGACAAACATGAAGAGTTTGGTTCAAAAAAGGTAAATCCGGTACTCATGATATGCCCACATCTCAGAGCTGATCATCAAAGTGTTACTCCCACGGCTACACAAATATCCATTGTTTACAGAAGGCGACACGGTCAGCAATAAATGTAAACCGGCCTTCACTGAACTTTCAAAGTGTCATGGCTCTGTCACTTACAACTTTGCAATGGACAACAAAGCCAACATTTGAGAAACCCTAAGCCCTACCTTTATCTTCAAGAGCCTTCATTCAGTTTACATTTGATTATTACTCAGTTGAAAAACCCCATTGAATCTACAGCTGTGGCAGAACAACTCGCACAAAACTGAAATGCTTGATTTTTAAACAAAAATATTTGTTTTCCATCTAAACATAATGCAATCATAGATAACAAAATATGAAAGAATTTTATAAGGTAAGTGTTGTAAGTTATAGCATGTGTGCCGTGACCTAATTTTACTACAACTTCAATGTAGAGCGTAAGTTCCACAACTCCCCCCCCCCACCTTCTTTTTTTTGGTGTGATATTGAAGTCAATGATTAAATTTTTAGCGCTGTAGCAATTGCCCACTCCTCCCTTGATAGGGAAAAGGTTGTTTACGTTTTACGTTCGAATATGTTCAAATTTGTGCTAAAGAATGCTATGCAGTGATGCAATTTCTAGAAGTTCCTCTCTGGAGGTTCTACTCCAACTCTCTCTCCATAAATAAGTCAGCAGCTATATTAGCCAGGAGAGATTTTTGCTAAATTATAGGAGCCTTACAAGAATGATTTCTTTTTGTCTGTGTGTGAATGAATATTTGTATCATTTGAGGCTTATACTTTTCACTTGCTGTGCTTCAAGTTAATATAGATATTATTTCTGTATATCTGGTTTTGTATTTTTTACAAATTTAATACTATAGGCCTATAGCTAAACTGAAAATTGTTACTATCGCACGCTTTGATTGATATCGTTTTTCTTTGCATATTGGGTTTTAATCCTTTCTTTACACATTGTTTAAAAATCAAGCCAAATCTTAAAACAGATTAAATTTGCAAAACCATATGTAACACGTAACAGTAAGGATACGGTCCAGGAAACATGCGCTTCAGGTCAACTTTTTCTTTGCAGTATGGACAGGTCTGTTTTTTACCAACAATGCACCATCCTCGTATACAAAATTCATGGAACCTGGAAAAAAACTCAGCTAAAGAAAATAACAATCATTTAGTTGATTTTTTCCTCTTTCAAAGAAGTCTTGATTTTTTTTTTGCGAATCACAGTACATAAAGAGCTAAGACATTGGCTTTGAACACTGAAGTCAGCAAATAAAATGTAGTTTATATTATTATGAACTCCACTTTCAACAACCTTTTTTTTATTATTAAAGTTATTTTATATATGCATATGATATGTTCAGTCAATATGTATGATAACACACATTTTCATTTTTCATTAAATTAATGAATTAACTATCTCCCACATAGTACTCTTCAAAAAGGCAGAAAGGACCTTTAAGTTCCTAAGCTATAAAAATATAACCTCATTAATAACCGTTAATAACTTATCTACAGAACTCAGGCAAATATTAATATATGATAATTTTTTTTTAAACTTTCCTGGAATAAATTTACTTAGAAAGTTTAACAAAATAATTGGGGGGAGGGGGTGGGGTGTTTGGTTTGTTTGTTTGTGTGTGTGTTTTTAAGAGAAGAGTGATGCCCTAGATCAGTGGTCGGCAATTCACCAAATGCCGCTCTTTAACGGCTCGGCCAGAAATCGGTTTTGACTCCGAAAAACATGGTTCTTGACAAGTTCTTGAAAAGTAATTTGGCTCTCAAAAATTTGTCAATTGTCCTGCTGGTGATTTTTGGCTCATTTGACTAACGAGTTTGCCGACCACTGCCCTTGCTAGTTCATTTGGTTAAATTTTTAAAATAAAATTATTCATTCAGATTCTCTTTTTAATCTTTTGAAAAGTGAAGCCCTTGTTTTTTGAAAAACCTTGATATGAGTAATGTTTATAAAGGATACACGTGACCACAGTTGAGTTTAATTGTCTTTTCAATGACAGCATTTTCATTGCTCATAATGTAGATCTCATTACCACATACAGCACACATATTGGGATCCAGCCTCTTTGCTGGCAGACCTGTGCTGGAGTAATACTGGTTTGGATACACAGAGAAAAATTGCCATTAAATAAATATCAAAATCCTTCCTAAGTTATGATGCTTAAGCACCTTATTAAGTATAATTTTAAAAGTTGTCTTTCTTCTTTAAGGGCAGTTAACAGAACCTAGTCTAGGGGAATCTTCACCTGAGGCTGGATCAATTTGCACCCCTATGTATATAGTTTTTTAAATTTCTAATAAGTATTAAAAGCTTCAATCAGGCACCCTTTCACATTGTTCACCTGAGGCCAGTGTCTCATTTGCCTCACCTTTGTCCCGGCCCCGATAGCTCTATCAAGATATTAAAAACACAACTTACACTTAAACATTATATAATGGAAACTACTTAATTTGAAAACTACATTGTTATCTATAATAACACTTACTGCAGAGTTTCAAACATTACAAAATATAACAGCTAGACCTTGTAACCAAGGTTATATTTACACATGCAGAAGGCGACCCTTCAACTATTAAAGACACATTACATGTTATTAAGGCTGTCAATGTTTACAGGTTCCCCTTCTCCTCATCTGCTATCATTCCCAAAAATTCTTAATACGACACACTCTGTACAGGTTGTTGTTTAAGGCAATACATTTCTTTTTTCACCCAGATCAAAGACGAGTATGAATGTTCTTCAAGTTCCTACACTGTTTAAGCCAGTATTTTCATTCTAGCAGTTTAACCAACCCCCATGTAAATTTTAAACTCACCCCTATATGGGCTGCCATGGTGTCTGCGCAAACCTCTGCAAAATCTCTGGACACGACCCCAAAATAAAGCCCATAGAACAGGAGCAGGAGACCAAAGTCCATGGCTGTCTGAGGTTTGACTAAGACGAGCATGTTGAGACCAAAGATAGTAAACATAATCACTAAATAACCAAGTATTCCAGAGGCATAGCTGAGTTTGTAGAGTAGCAGGAACCACTTATAGACCCATCTGGAATGAAAATGTCAACACATAAAATTAAGTAAGCCAACAGAATGCTGGACAGGAAAATAATACTTTTTCATAATTAATTCAGATATTTTTTTGGGACATCTCATATGCCCTGGGTGTTTTACTTTGTAAGTAGTCAGAAAAATTATTAACACCCCCACTCTCTTTTTTTAATTTTCAACCAAAGAAAATAAAATGAATAAAAAATAAAAAAAAACAAGAAACAAAAATGAGACTAATATGAACCCATATCATCACACTGTTACCTCTCACTGTAACAAAATATTACAACTCAAAAGATCAGTGACGAACTGCAGGTTTGTGTTGTACCCTACCTTGGTGTTGAGCCTGAGAGTGGCTTCCTTGATGCCTTGAAGGTAACAAATGCTGTAACAATAGAAAACACCATCCAAAACCCACAGAATCTCCACCAGCCAAACTTGGCACATATAACGACAGGGATCAGCCACATCCCCAGCAATGTGGCCCTCTGAAATAGTGTTCAAAATTAGTTAAATGAGATGCGACTGGCGTAGGACATGTATCCTTAATGTAGCTTGGTGCATCGAGCCAAAAGTACAATTACACTTCAATATGCCAATGAGTAGCTTGGTAGCCATATAAACTGAACGTTTCTGCTACAATTTGATATCAAAATAAGGAAACAAAATAGTTGTCATTTACTGATATTGTAACTGCTGTGAATACAAGATGAATGGACAACAGTTCCCAAAATACCTGATATGATTTAAAATGTCTGGTTTTCCACTGGACCAGAATAATTTGAGCAACAATGAGTGTGACCAAAAGAATGATGGCCATCTCTGCATGCATTGATTCATGGCCTTTGTGCTTTTCATGTAGCATCTGATGTTCCACCCTGGGAAAAATAAAAATTTAAACAGGAATGTTATGATTGCATACCAATAGTATGCTAAAGGAAAATTGCAATCATTAGATTTATACGATGTTACTGTTACTCTATTTAAAATCTTCTATTCACAGAAAGCTATGCTTAACATTTCTTTTACTGCTCACTGATGATGGCTCTTAGAGGCTATGTTCAATGTTTTGTGTGTCATATATCTTGTCCTTTATAATGCTCTTCTTAAAGGTTTAGCCCAGGTCTCCCCAATATCCTTGAACCAAGCTTTTAATCTTAAAAAGTAATAAATTCACCATCGTGATCCCTTTTTTTAAAAGAATTTTTCGTTTTAAAAAGCACACACCCCTAGAGAGAACTGAAGATGGAGTTTGATCAGAATTTTTAAAAATAGATATAGATTATGATGAGCAAGGGAAAAAAAAACAACTAATCTCATTGATAAACATGAAAACAATAAAGGTGATTTTAAAATATATCTTTCAAGAAAGCAACAAACAATTGATTATTATTATTATTCATGTAAGTACATGACTTGAAATCTGTAGGACAGAGATAAGACAAAAAACAACAACATTATAACATTAAGCTGCAAGAACAACAATGTGAGGTTGAGGAGGTTGCAAAGAAAACATAGGTGAGAAGGAGACACATGTACAGTTGAATTGGTTCAGCTATCAACTGCTTTGTAAAGCACTTTAAAAGCTGGTTGCTAATCTTTGATTAATTTCTGTTGTAACATCAGTATGCATTGATAACTGAAAATAAATAAGCAGCACAGAAAGGCTGTGCAAATCCTATTTAGACTGTTTCTCTAAAGCATGTTACACACTAAGGTGTGCTGGTACAGCATGTGGGACATTTATTCTTAGTGGGAGAAGATACAAACAAATCAGATTATTTGCCAAATTCTTAAAGGCAGATTTAAAAACTCTTAGTTAAACAGATGTTTCAAACCATTTGGCTCAAGCCTTAATCAATATCCAACAATTATTTACAGTACACAAGTTTAACGGACTTAAATTTTTTTGTCAGAGTAAAGCTGCAGCAAATCTCTGTTACATAACCATCTACAACATTGACTATTATATATGGACTGGCAGTAGACTCAAATTATCTTTTTGTTTCTTATTGCAGAGAGGATAAAACAAAAACCCAATGTCTCTGTAGTCAATTGCATACCAAGAGTGAAAAGCCAGCTTTAAAAAGTTTCACAAACAAATTTTGCATTAGAAGTTGTGATGGGGAAAGTGAAACCATGGAGTTTCCTACACAGAATATGATTTTGTCTTAGGTCTTCAACAAGGTTTGGCATGTGAGGTAAAATGTGTGAATTCAACCCCAGATGTACAACTCATTTACCTGATGTCACCTGTGGGTGATCTACTCAAATTACACATCAATAAAAAATATTCTATGTGTCATTCTCATTTGCTTTTTATTAGTGTCAAATATTTTACCTCCATCTTTCTTTTTCCGACAGCTTTGACATGTCCACAGCTGACTGTAATTGAAGACAGGAAATAGATGAACAAATGAGGTATTCATAAGGCTAACAAACATATTCAGGACGTGTTTAATAACTGTGGCACAAGCCAAGCATTTCACACCAATCTTCACAAATACATTGTTAAAGCTGGAGCACCAGCTCTTATTGCTCTTTTTTTTTCAAATAATATAGTGACACCACTCTGTTTCAACATATTGTAATATAGCTGGCAAATATATTCTTGCTTTGCATCTGAGTAGACTGAATAGTTACTATATTATCATTGATTCTGAAATTTTTAAATAACAATGAGACAGGTGTCAGGACACGCCAGGATGCATCTGTCGCAATCCCAGTACGACTCATTTGGTTACTACCGGTACTTTAGGAAATGAGTTAATTCATTTATTTCTTATTTTTTTAAAATCATTTCTTTTTTTAAATCATTAGAAATTTTATTGTTTTTTTTAAATGATTTTAAAAAATATTTTAAAAAAAATTGGATCGAGTGTTGCCCTAATGATTAACACTTTCTGATCAGCATCTAAAAAAAAAGATCAATAGGATTTGATTTTGGGGTTGACTACACTAATTGATGTAGCATAAAATCCTTCCCTGTACACACCATTACAAGAACAATACATAAATAGCCAACTATGTCAGCAAAATTTGCATTAGTTGTATTTCATTACATAATTTAATCAGCTAAACTTTGTAGAAAATGTCTTTATCCCATAAATGTTATTTATTAAATTTAAGGTTGTTAGTTGCACAGAGCTGTACTAGCAGTAAATGAATATTTGTAAAGTTAACGTTAAGAGTTTCAATTGAAAATCAAATTATATATATACACACACTTGTGATACTATTCACACTTTTAATTTAATTTAGAAAAAACTTAATGCAGAAGTTAACTGGAGTAATTATGAAAACAAAAGAAACTATGTCCAGGCTTTGAAAGGAACTGATAAGAAAAGATAAGGATTACTCATGGACTTAAGGAAATATATTGATACACATTAGGATACCACATAAACAATTAAACTTATTTTCATCTGACTGAACATGTGAGGGTGCTTCACTTAATGCTTGTAATTTGTATTAGCCGCATGTGGCTTGCAAGCTGTGCAGTGGTCATCCATGATATTTCCACATCATTCCTCCAGTGCTTTAGGCAATGGCCGCAGAACTCATTTCTTGTCTTTGGTTTGTTTCTGTGGAAGCTGTTTGCAGGGTTCAGATTTCTTCATCTACTGTGCAGCACTAAGTCTATTGTGTGTCATATTATTTGTTATCCCTTGCTTTGCCGGGAGATAAGCTTGGAAGAATTCTATAGACATGACCAAGCCAACTCCCTGCACAGTTTTAGCAATAGTTGTAATGCCAGATAGTAAAGGTTTTTCAATTCTTTATTTGAAGATTGTCTGTGGCCAGAAAATTATATGGATCTTGTAAATAATTCTAGGTCACATCTTCAAGAAGGCTGATTTTTTGTCTTTCCATCAAAAACTTTTTTTTCCTGACCTACATAATAATAATAATAAAATTAATTTTATTTGAAAATCACGCTTCATCCCCAAAGGCTCGAAGCATGGTAAAAAGTCAACCATATTAAAAGAGAAATGAAAAAATCTATACTATACCACATTGAAATAAAAAACGCATCATTACAAAAACTTCATATGAGAATACCCATTTTAAGTCTTTCATCCATTCCAATCATAAACAACACAGGCCAATATACATCTAGGAGATAATAGCGAGCTGGAAAAGATGGTAGACAACATCACCCCAGCAGGTGTTTGCGAAATAGATGTGTTTTCAAATCGGTTTTGAAAAACTCCAGTGTCTCGCTGTTTCTGAGAGCGACTGGAAGTGTGTTCCAAATTGTTGGGCCAGCAAATGCGAATGTGCGCCTTCCATAAGTCTCAAGGCAAACACGTGGTATCAAGAGTTTGCCACTATCAGATGAGCGGAGTTGTATAGTGGGTACATAAGTCGTCATGAGCGCTTTGAGATAGGACAGTGCCAGGTCATGCAAGCAGCGGTAGCACAGAGTTGCAAGTTTGTACTCTATGCGAGTGTGGACCAGCAGCCAATGCAACTCTCTCAGAAGTGTTTTAGCATGGTCAAATTTGCATTTGCGAAGAACAATATGAGCCGCATTATTCTGTGCTTTTCTAATTTTATCCAGGAGCGGAGCTGGAAGACCCACCATGAGAACGTTGCAGTAGTCCATGCGTGATAGCACAAATGCAGACATCAGCCTCTTTGTTGCATCAAACGTTAAGAAAGGTCTGATATGACTAATTCTGCGCAGTCCAGACGCATGTTATTGAGGCTTTCATCTGGCCTCTTTTTCTTTCCTTGATGATCTTGCCAGACTGTTATGGCTAAGACCTGGTCCTTAAGCACTGTCATTAGCAAGCATTCCATTCCTTGTCTCTTCTTTTGTGTTGTTTGTACTGGTTCATTTTCAAATTAATTCCCCCCCCCCCTCAGCACAACTACTGTCTTTAAAAGGTTCACTTAGGTAGTCCTTAAATGCTATTTCCTTAGCAAATAATTTTTGTTATCAGGTTGCTAGCTCCCTATAAGACACTCCTCTTTTATCCTCACTTGGGACATGCTGTGGAGCCACCCCTGATAAAAGGAATAATATTTTTTGAGAATACCAACAAGTGATGCTTCAGCTTGTCACACTTTGACTGTGAACATTTACTCCTGCAGTATACTTTTCCTTGTCGTATTGGTGCTACCGGCACAATGAATTTCATGCACAAAATCCAGAGAAGGAAAAAAAAAAGGTTGTCATGTATGTATGCCTTAATAATATTAACTAATACAAAAAAAGTGGCCTATGATAGTTGGGGGGGGGGGGGGGGGTGAAAAAAAAAAAAAAGGGGGAAGGTTATGCTTGAAGTCAATAAGAGACTAAATAGCCACCAAAATAAATTAAAGAACAGAACTTTATTGACTTGTTTTTATGTACAAGGTACCCCAGAAAAACAAATACCAGTCAAACAAAACGGGGAAATTTCAACTTAAAGGGATTCTGCTACAAAAACCAAACTCCATTGTTCAAAGATTTCACCTGAAATCCAAAATGCTCTCTGGGGTACCTCGGAAAGCTGAGTCTAAATTTCATCTTGAAAGCCCCTTTTTAGAGTTGTATTTTGTGGTAAAGCCTTTGAGGCACAAGCAGCAAATATCAAAATGCTCATCAGCTAATTAGATGCTAAATCACCTAGTACGACCTACTAACACACCAAAAAGTACAGAGACAAAACGATAAAAGCAAAGTACAAAAGATTTTCATATCGATGTTCAAAGTTAGAATTGAGATTACTATATTGTTTAATTAATTGTTTTTAGGTTATAAATGCCTTTTAATTTAAAAAAATAATAATAATAATAAGATTTACAGGATTATTAATTAAGGTTCTAATATTTTTAACAGGTGATGGATAGGACAGGGATGCTTAACTTGGACACTTAATTTATTTGATTAGCAATATGACAAACATCTCAAGTATTTGCAACAACCATGCTACAAAGCATAATTGTATAATTGGAGCATTTTACCAATTCTAATTAAAATAGATAGGCTAAATACAAAACAAATTTAAAAATGACACTTAAATCAATAATTAGGTGATATGTGTCTCCCCCATATACAGCGACGAGGCCATGACAGGCAATTCAGGCTCATACCAGCAAGAAGCCAGTATAGGAGCTGCTCATTCCTGCCCAAGACAATCAGGGACTGGAACCATCTTTCAAAAGGAAAAGTTGAGGCGACAACACTAGACACATTTGTGTCTATTGCCTCAAGCCTTCAAACTCCTAGTGCATAATTTCCTCATCACCACCAGTAACAGAAACATTGCAAATCCCATCTACATGCATAGGAGCCAAAATGATCAATAAATTGATCGTGGGCCCTTAAGATATAGAAGAAGAAGAAGAAGAATTGTTTTTATAGGCCCACCATTGATAGCAAGTAGTTTATACTTTTAATTTAAAGTGTGATAAATTAAATCTTTTACCTGCCCATTTCATGACCCAGAAAATATATATGCATTGATCACATGTGGACACTTATAATAGTTATATCACTACATATCACTGTCATGATGAGTTTTCTTGCTTAATATTGTTCCTGATCCTGGCTTATCCAAAGTAGACACAATTGAAAAAACAAAATTAAATAGATCTAAATTACTTTCACATCTTAAGCTTTGAAAAAAAATTAATATTGTCACAATGCTTTGTAATTAATTGCTTTCACTTTCAGTGCAAGTGATGTATATTTTACTAAAGTTTTATTTATTTAGAGTTATTAAATACTAGGTTAAACTTCAGTTATTCACAAAATGTATTAGGTTATTATGTATGAGTATGAATACTAAATAATAAATAGACCTATCTAAAGAAATCATTAATTATTAATGAATTGCTATCCCTAGTCATCAGTTGTCATGACGATAGTTAGAGTAAGCAGAATCACAATTGGACTCAATCAATAATAGACATATATATAATTCAATGATATTTCTAATGTCTTAATTAAGTTAGTCACAGGCCTACCTATATTAACTTTAAAAGTTTATTAAAAAACTGATCTTGTGAGTTGTGACAAGACACTAGTTCATTAAATCTATCTGCAGCTAAAAACTAAGGCTCTACTATAAATTATAGTTTATAGTTACAGTACTTTAGATACTTTGGTCAAAAATTTAAACATTTTGTAAAAATAAACCAATGGCATAGTTGAATAGAGCTAAATTTTTACAGAATTATAACACCAAAATTATATTTTTAGCTGTTGTAGTTTTAAAGTTATGAATTTTTAAAGTACGACTTGGTTTGTCCTTTTTTAACATGGACTGCATCTCCACATTCTGTGACCTCATTCCGCCGATCGCGTCATGCGCAATGACTATATAGTTTATATAAGGCCAAGGCATTCCCTTATCACTAAAATACTGTTTAGGGTCGACTTATTTTAAACTTTCAACTTTGGCACATGAATAATTAATTAAAGCTTTCCCTGACCAATGGTTTAATAGTTTTTGCACACGGCAAACTCTTATGAATGAAACTCTGAGATAGTACTACGATATAGCCGTTATGCAAGTGGCTGTGAATGGTTGCCAATGACAACGTGTTGCACACGGAAATTTCTGATCATTTATAATATGGACTCTACAGGGTTTTTAAAGCTCAAATTAAAACATTCCAGTTTAAATGTCTTCAAAATGCATTCTGAAACACAAGTTATCAAATATTTTGATGTATATAGTGGTAATAATTAAATATTTCTTAAGTATCGGCAACTTCCGCCATTAAAAAGGGGGCGTGGCCCACGCCATGTCGAAATAAGGCTGAGCCCCCTTATGGTGATATGGGTCACTGGGAGAAGCGTAGCGAACGTGGGACACTACCTACATCAATGAGAATTGGCACAGATATATATCAATATCTAATGCCTTACACGATTTAATATGAAAGACATGTTCCTTTTATTTCACAAAAAATTTTGTATTCGAAGATGCCTTATATATAACAAAGATTTTCAAAATGAAGTTCGATTGAAAAAAGCAAAATAGTTGGATGGAAATGTAGGCCAAGATGTCTTCCAAATTATAAGGCCGGAAACGGAACTCAAATATATGTCCAAAGAACTAATTTAATAATAAATAGACACACACATCGGAAAATTAAAAACTCGGATTCTTCGGCGCTTATTTCCGATACAAAAAAAGTAGTAGTCTCCCTTGTTTTATCGAAGTATCTACTCAGTACTTATTACTTATTTACTTATCACTAATAAAAAAATTATACTCTTGGCCTAACTGTTTGCCTAGTAAATTCCTTTAGACTTTAGTAGTATTATGAGTAAAATTAAGCACAGGCCATGACTATGATTCGCTCTGCTATGTTATCTGAAATATCTGCTATGCAGTTTGAGCAGTAATACTAGTACTAGTAATAATAGCCTAATGATGAATAATGCAGAGCGCAGCACAGCAGAGAGTCTAGAGAGTAGGACCAAAATCACATCACACGGTCTAACAAAAGGCACTCGAGAAATCATTCGTGGAGAATAACTGCAGATTGATCAAAAAGGTAAAAGATTAATAAATACATTTTTAATAGTTCAAGAAAAACAAATTGTTAAATTTTACGAGATTGATAGGCTTTTCTCCATGCCAACCGTCTACGTGGTCGTGGTGGTTGGCCATATTGATGCCAATTGTTGATTGCCATAGGCATTACCTCCCCTTATTGGTTTTCAAAATTTCGAAATAATATTTAGGACTACAGAACAAAAACACTTTCTAACACTTAAAAAAAATGTACACTGAAATAACACTGGACTATATTTTTTTAAAAAAATAATTCAAATTATTATAATTACATTTGCCCAACTTGCTTTTTTGGAAACCTTAAATTTAATAAATGACGTCATGCAACTGTTCTAGTTATTGTAGGCAGTAGTCCTAGTATGTTCAATATAATATATATACTAGCCAATATACCCGGCGTCCCCGAGACTACCTCCCGGTCCCATTGGTATCCCTAACCCGTGTCCCGTGTGTATCCCGATGGGATCATGTTGATGGTGGGATCCCGATCCTTCGGGATCCCAATTCCGATGGTATCTTGATCTCGTCGATATTCCGATCCTGGTGGTGGTATCCCAATCCCATTCCCATTGGGATCCCGATCCCGATTGGGATCCTTTTTCCATATGGGATCCCGACCTAACTGAAATAACTAATATCCAAGTAGGATACCATATTCCAATTAGATTCCGACCTAATTGAGATAACGATAGGATCCCATTTCCAATTAGGATACATATTCCAATTGGTTCCCTCTTTAAAATTCAGGTGGGATCTCGATCATGTTAGGATCTCATTTCCCGATGGAATCCTCTTCTCCGATGGGATCCCATTTGCCGATTGGAACCCTATTTGATCCCGCCACTCGATGGGATCGTGCTACTGGTGCATTCCAGTTTACTAAATCCCATTTAGGGTCCTCTTCCTCGTTTGTATCATGTTCCCATTGGGATTTTGTTCCCGGTAGGATTATGAAGGGTCTGTTTAAAGAAAGTACCCACGGAGGTACAGAACTAAACGAACGTTTCAATGAGCCTTGAGATTCCATTATATATCCCCGTAGAATCGTGCTGGGTCGCCGAGTGGTCTTAACTGAGCAAATCTCAAGTTGATGGTCTGGCGTTCAGTCCCAGGTCAAGCAAAAACATCCCCAGCTACCCGGATGGATGGGACCCGTTAACCTTGGATGGTAATTCATATAAGAGAAGGAAACTCTGAATTTAAACCCGGAGATGGAGTCTCGTAGGCGGATAACGTTGGTGCAATGAAACAATCCGACAACTCCAGCGACGCTTCTTCTCCTTCTTCTTCTTCTTCTTTATTTTGAGGGCCCACGATCAATGAATTGATCATTCTGGCTCCTATGTTTCAGAGGGGTTCGCGATGTTACTGTACATGGGTTTCAAGGGGATACTTCACTGGTTGCAAGGGCTACTCAGCAGTGGTGTTATGAACTGGGGGTTGGAATACAGGAGGCAGTAGACACAAATGTGTCGAGTGTAGGCGCCTCAACTGTTGCTTTTGGAAGCTTGTTCCAGTCCCCTATTGTCTTCGGCAGGAATGAGGAGCTCCTTTACTTTGTTCTTGTCACGCCCCTGGTGCCAAGCTGTATCATCCACATGATGTTGCCTTGGGTTTTATCCAGCGGCGTGGAGAGAGGCGATTTGCTGTTGTTGACCTGCTTATAATCCTAGAAAAATAATCCCAGGCCTTGTGGAATTCGTCCTGCGAAGTCCACACCATCGTCACATTGTGAAGGACGGATGCCAGCAAAAAAGATCAATATAGAACTTTCTAGAACATTCTAGATTAAAAATTAATATAGTCCTCGAAACGTGTAAACAATAGTTTTCAAAAGAATTATTTTTCGAAAAAGAAAAAAAATATACAACTAAATGCATTACTATAACTATAAAAACTTTTCCCTATAAAATAAATTAAAATGACTTAAACAGAGTAGGGTTAAACCTGAAACTTGTACTAACCTGATTGCAGTCTCTCCCCTTATTACCCCTAAAATAAATTAAGATAAATTATGGAGTTAAAATTTGAAATCTGTCCCATTAAAATCTATTTTTAAATGACATAAATATATAGTTTTTTAAACTATCTAAATTTCTGGAAAATTCTAGATTGGATATTATAAGTTTTGAATCCACCGATATTTCTATACGGACAGTGCAGGGTGTTGCTACCGAGCTAGGCGCATATTTATTTATTTAGGCATTTTTATATAGCGCTTACCTTAAAGCTCTAAGCGCTTTACAATTATTAAAAACATGTAAACTAAGTAAAATAAAAATGAAAAACCAGAGACACTAGGATAGTAACTACTATACTACAGAAACAATTAAAATGGCTATAAAACGAGTAGGCTACACTTTGGCACGTGTTGGCCTACACTACAGGATCAACTCGAGACCGAAAATGAGGCAGGGCAAGTAGGGTGCATCACAGGTCATAGGCGGACCTAAACAGATGGCCATCAAATCCCATAGAATCTATAGTGTTGTCTAAGCTTTACGATATTAATTATATATCTTATATAAGGAAAAATTAAAAGGGGCCCCAGCCCCCAGATGAATGTATATCATGAGTTCAGTACACTTTGGCATTTGAGTATGGATAATCAAGTGTATGTGTAGTAAGTTTGGTCAAGATCCATCCATTCATATAAGAGTATTTATTGTTAATTTTATTTATAGGCCCTATAGCATAGCTCATATAAGAAAAAAAAAATGAATTCGGGGCCCTCGGCCGAATTAGGTCAAGGTCGATCAATCCATGTAAAAAACCTTTGATCCTGATCCCGGCGCAATCCTGTTTCCGGTGTGATCCCGCTCCCGGTGGGATCCAGTCTTCTTGTGGCTCCGGATCCAGGGGAATCTAGATCGCAGTGGGATTCCGATCCCGGTGGTATCCCACTTCCCAGTTGGATCCCAATCCCGGTGGGCTTCAGATCCCATTAGGATACCGTTCTCTGTGGGATCCCGTTCCGCATATGGACACTCTTTTCCGATGTTATCCCATTTCGCGATAAGATCCCAATACCGGTTTATTCCCGTTACCCGATGTTATCGCGTAACCGATGGGTTCTAGTTAACTGTCTGATCTCGTTCCCCATAAGGATCCTGTTCCTCTATGTCAGTGTTCCTCTATGGGGTGACCCTCAGCCACAAAATTATTTTCATTGCTACTTCATAACTGTAGAGCATGTGTGTTTCAGGTGGTCTTAGGCAACCCCTGGGAAAGGATCGCGACCCACATGTTGAGAACCGCTGCTCAATGGGATCATGCTCACTGCGATTTTGTTCGAATAAACTTTTAGAACCCATTATATATCCCCGTAGAACAATATAGAACCTTGTGGAACATTCTAGATTAAATTGAATCTATCCTCCATGAAACGTGTAAAAAATTACTTTTCTACGTAATAATTTCTCGAATGCGAAATATTATACAACTAAATTGTACTACTATAACTATAGTTCATTTAAATTGAAATAGGGGCCACAGTTGGGGGGGGGGGGGAGTTTAATAAATAACGGATTTGT